TATATATATATATATATATATGTATAAACGGAAAAGAGATGAGAAATTGGGTTCGAATATTTTTAACATAATTTTTATAAAAATAAAATATAGACATATGTAATAGATATAAAAGTAAAATATATTTTATCTGTTTGTTGTATTTTTATCTCATTCAGACTTTAAAGCTCATCAAGTATATACATATAATACGCAAATTTTTTTTTTCTTATCCTGTCTTATGAAACTAGCGCTGGACTATATGCGATTCGAGGAATTGTGAAATATTTATAATTTTTCATAATGTACTTTTGGCTCTAAATATGATAATACAAAATTTATAACAGATTTGATCATTTGCCACCATTTTGATTGAAGATTAGTATATAAAACTGTAGGTCCCATATTATTTGTGAATATATGCAAAAAAGATAGCCCACGCTGACAAACGTTTGACGTACGAAGAGATATATTAAACATTTTATCTATAACAGTCTTTATAGTATTGAAACAATCAGTACAGTGACTTCGTTATTAGAGCCAAGTATGACTTTTTTAAGTGAGCATCTTACATATAACCTCCGATGTTAATCTTATCCTGATAAAGTGGGTTGCGGTCCGACACCGCCTGCGAACTTGTACACGAGCGAAGCTACTTCCACGGCTAGTTCGTCAATGTTCGACGGGTTCTCACATTCCGCATAAACCCGCACGATGTCTTCGGTCCCGGAAGGCCTGAAAAGAAAGTCCATTTGACCTCTCGTAGTAATTTTTGTATATTTAAGAGATGAAAGATTGTTTCAATAAGCTTCTGAGAGATATTTGAAAAGTTTCCGAACATAGTTTTGTATGTATCAAGATATAATATTTATACCTAATGAAAGATCGACCTCTTCGATATTTGGAGACAGCCTTGTCGATCTCTTTTTGCAGACCATCGGGAGTCAGGCAATTTCTCTCCGCATTCGATGTTTTTATAACAGCTCTGTCCTTCACTCGGACTTTGAGTTGCTTATTCGGCAGGTCGTTGTAACTTTTCTCCCACTCGACAATGTCCCAGCCCTTGGCGTGTAGTATGGTCTCGACTAGCAGCATGTCGCTCAACGCGTCGCCGACCGTTTCGTTTATCAAATCGATTACGTCCCTCAGCTTTGTGGCGGCCTTCCTTTGCGAATCCGAGATCCTCGAGTCCGCGGCTTGTTGCTCGATGGATTTCTTAGCGGTTTTGCTGAAGACGACGGTGCCATGCCCGTTTGCCTCAAAGTAGACCCCAATGTCGAATTCCTTCGCTTTCTCGTGCAGATGCTTCACGCCGGTCGGCACGCACGCCACTGGAATCTTCAACACGTCCCGGATGTAATCGGTTGAACTGCCGTTGGCGTACGCGGTTTGCACCAGGCCCAAGTGCAGGTCCAAGGCGCACGTTTCCAGCAGGTCCTTGAAGTATTCGGCCACCAGCGTCGCTATGCGATCCCCGTCCAAGAGATGAAACTTGTCGTCCTCGTCCACGTAAAAGTACACCACTCTGTCTGCGTCCCCGTCTATGCTGACGCATCTGACGCCTGCCTCAGACGGGACGTTCCGTGGCAACGCCTGCTGCACCTTGACAAAGTCCGCGCCGCACATGTAATTCAAGTCCCTGCTTCCGTCAAAATTTGCGTTAAACAACTTAATATCCAGCACACCGTCCAGTTCCTTCTGAAATGCCATCGCTGCGAAAGCGCCGACGCCGTTCGCGGCGTCCAACCGCAGCACGCCCGTGTACTTCCCGTTATTTATCTCGGCGCCTCGTATGCTCTTGAACACCGTTGTCAGCTTCGAAAAGTAGCCCATTATCGAAGGATCGCCATAGGCACCGTTAGTGTTTTTGCACACCACGATGAAGTGCAGCTGTGGAGTTGTGACCATACGTAAAACTGTACAGTGACCGTTCAAAGCACGGACCCCTTCTTTTGCAGCTTCAGCCAGCCTGGGGCTGCTTTCACGAGTATCCTTTCCTATTATCACCTCACCCCTATACTCCTCTATCCCTAGGTCTTCCCTAGGATTTCTAGGTAACTCTATGTGACTTATTTCCATCAACAGCGATTCCAAATCACTGTCCTCGGCGTTAGCTAGACGCGTCGCGTACTTCTCCCAAGAAGCCTCGAGCATCTCGCCAGCTGGATCGACAAGCTTGACACCGTTGTCGGGCTCCAAGTTGTGGCTCGCGGTAATCATCAAACCTACGGTGGCTGTAAGAAGTTTATTCGTTGAGAAAAGTTCACAAATTCGATGATTCAATGTCACATTATGTGTCATGTCATGTTACACTTGTGCCCTTACCTTTCATTACTTTGGATCGTAACACAGCTAGCATACCCATTCTGTATATAACATGGTCCAAGATGTCTGAGCTAAAATTTATATTTATATTATGTATGTATATCAGTTATCTTAAACATACAATGACAACATTCTCTCGTGCACCTTGTATTATGTATGTTAAAAAATAAGATAAAGAACTTCATGCAACATTTTCAGCGAAAGGTTTTGATAAGTTTAAATAATGAATGTTGTCTAAGCGTTATGTATATGTATTACAGGATGGAATCAACAAATGTTGATGATTTGGGAAAAACTCATGCTCTTACTTTGCTCTAAAGCCAGCGGTTCCATATTCGATAAATTCCTTGCATTTCCGACTGTACTGCGGATTAAGGTTGTAAATTGAAATCATTGTGTCGATACACGTCAATAGTTTCACGTAAGAACTGCACGTACAGCCATATGGCGAAATTGGCGAGTGGTGAATGTGGTGACGTTTAAGAGGGGGAAGAGATTATGTCGTGTTGCTCCACTGGATGGTGGACTTGCGTCTTCAATCTCTCTTCGAGGAGGTTACATGTGACAAATATTTTTGTCTATACATCCAATGTTATAGTAAGATATTCATTACTGACTTTTCCCTCTTCTTTTCTTGTAACATTAACTTTCCAATCCTTTCGATCAATTATTTAAATATTCAGATTTTTTTCCTCATTGTTGCTCCTTAATTCGCTGGAATATGCTAACCCTTCCGTCTAACCCTTGATTTGAAAACTCGTTTTCCACACAGCTGACTCAGCTGACAGAGTGTCACAGAGCTACACTCTATGTAGCACGTTCTGTACTTAAAATAAGATATAGTCGATAATAGTAGATACACAATGGATATTGGAGAGAAAAAGATAAAAGTTATTTAACGACAAATTAAGAACCTTTGATCCGTTCTTTGTATGTATGTACATACATACAATTGCACTGTGTATTATACTTTTTTTAAAATAAAATATATGTATATTATAATTAGATTTATGTGTATATATTAGAAATGTATAATTATATTCCCGGGGAAAAAAAGTTCCACATATAATTAAATATAATTATATATAATTATATACAAAATATGTCCATGTATATCCATATATTTCTTTTCTTTGTAAAATTATTGTTTGATACAAGAAAAATGATAATAATAAAAAGAAAATAAAAAATAATTAAAAGGATAATTTTTGTATTGTTTTTTTACAAAAATTCAAGTTTTAAGAAATGAGAAAAAATTGTTCATAAATAATTATATATATATATTTTTTATCATTTATATAAGATTATATGTGAGCAATTTTTCTCATTTCTTTAAACTTGATTTTTTGTAAAAAAAAAACTATAAAAATTATCCTTTTAATTATTTTTTATGTTTCCTTCTTATTATAATATATATTATCATTTTTTGTATTAAAGAATAATTTTATAAAGGAAAGAAACATATGGATATATATGGACATATTTTGCATATAATTATATATAATTATATGTGAAACTTTTTTCCCGGGTTTATGAAAAAAGAAGGAATAAAAAATACGAAAAATCTCAACCACGAAGAAAAAATATGTAAACTATATTTAAATTATATCTATTATTTATTATATTTATTATTTCTACATATGTTAGATCCATATATTTTATTTTTAATTCCTAGCATTTTTGTATTTGAAATATATTTGAAACATTGCGGAAATTAATTATTACTTAACTGTAATAATAAATATCCACTGTGATTTCTCTATAAAAAAAAAATGTATATATATATATGTATTATACGCTCGCTTAATTATATCAGAGAAATTACAGCGAATATTTATTATTACAGTTAGGTTATAATTAATTTCCGCAATGTTTCAATATATATATACATATATATATATATATATATATATATATATATATTATATATATTGAAATATATTGATTGATTTTATGCGCGATGTCTAATGCTCAAAATCTCGAATGTAATTTATACAGAAAATTAAGCATAATTATATACATATATATATATATATATATATATATATATATATAAAAAAATAATTATGCTTAATTTTCTGTATAAATTATACATTCGAGATTTTGAGCATTATAGACATTGCGCATAAA